AATGAAAAGACTGTCCCAGACATCGAGACTATTACTTCGTCAGATTTTGGCCTGTCTTAGAGACTTTGGAATTTCCCTTGCCCATCCCCAGCCCAGCAATGCAACGATTAATGTTGCATGCAATCCCAAAGTCAGTAAGGCTGTCTGCTCACTTTCCACTTGTGCTTCGTCCAGAAATCATTTCTTCACGCCCTGCCTCACAGTCTCTTTATTACATCTCTTCCTCCTGCAGCTCCAGGACTTTTTTCTCCATCAACACAAGAGGAAGCAGATAGGAAGCATCCCCTGTGTTCACTAGAGAGGAAGGAAGAGAAAATGATGGAAGATGCAGGACTGTTTTGATTCATGAAGCTCACTCTCATCTTTCTCTCAGACACGAGCAGTATTAGCTCTCAAGGGAAAAACAGGTGGGTAGAAAAGGGTCTCCCTGGCTCTTCCCACAGTTCTGAGGCCCAGGAGGCAGGTTGGTGCACAGGCTGCAGTGGGAGCTGCTCCCTTCCTCCCTCCCCTGGCCGGAATCCCAGACAGCTCCAGGAAGAATGAGAGAACGATCTGAAACACATCCAATATGCAGCTCCTTAGGTAGCAAGACTTGAAATCAAGCCAGGTGCTGGCAAAAGTACAGCAGGCCTAAGCCTGCTAGACTAAAGGCTTTTCCATGAAAAACGGGGAGGCAGGGAGACCGGCTTGATTGCAATCTGCCTTTCTTCTCACTTTGCCTTGCAGCTCACTGAAACCAGAGCAGATTTTTTATTTTTCCCCCTCCAGACCCAACTAAAAGAACAACTTTGGAAACTAGGAGCTGGAAGTGGCCTACAGTGCACCGATTTCACAGCGCTTAGGAAAAATGTTCTGCATACCTTCGTCAAAAATGCACAGGTTTGTCACAAAGGAACACCTGAATCATTCTAATTTATCTTCCTAGTGGGAACAGCTGGCAGAGCTCTGAGTAATTTTAAGGTACATGGATGAAAGGGGCAACCATACTCACGCAAGCTGCTACAAAGGCTCTGGCTCACCGGAGAAGCTGCTGCCCCCAGCTTCCCACTACTTCCATCAGAAGTTGGCACCTTTCCGCTCTGCTCATGTACGGACGCAAGTTAACTTGCCTTTGGTCCTGCCAAATTGATCTAGTTAAAAAGCAAACACTAAAATGGAAATGACAAAAAAGTGCCAATGATTATCGGAGTGCTGCTAAGAAGGAGGATTTGCGTCTTAACGGACATGAGCACGCCCCTTCCCTTCCTACTTTGCACATGCTGAAATGAAGCCACTGGCTACTACACAGCTAGTCTGTTGGCAGCAGATCTGGTTTGTTAGATTCCACAAGTCCAACCTACAGCTGAAACTTTAGATCAATGGAATTAACAGCTTTTTTGGCAGTAACCTCCAGCAGGAAAACGAGGACCTTCTAAAGTGGTTCTGGCCCTGCTGCGGAAGTACTACGGGACTGCGGTATAGGAGAGCAGCGTCCTTCCATTAGCGGTTCTTCTTGCTGGAGGTTACAATTTTATAAAGAAATAAAACATGACATGCATTAAGCGCATTGCTGACGAGGAAGGATCCTCCACGTAGTTCAGGAGACACGCTCCATTTTTCATACATGTGGATTTAACAAATTGAATATTGCAAAAGGAATTTGGAGACATTTGTAAAAAAAAGTAACACTGGCTAATCTGATGAATTCAGAAATACTTGTGCGTAGCTTTAGAATGTGTAATGTATCAATTCAACATGAAGATATATTGATTTATTCCACAGACATTTGGCTGCAATTCTTTTTTTTTTTCTTCAAAATTGAAATTCACGCACTCCAAAGTAAAATCATGCTCTACGGTAACACAGCTCAGCTTCATTCTTGCAATAAAAGGCTAATTAACACAACTACAAACATTCTCTCCTATGACAGCCTTGCCTATTACTTCCTTACCTTTTTTAAGTGAGCACGCACCAACTCGAAGTTCATTTCGTAGCTCTTGACTTTTACTGAAAAGGACTGGTTTTTGGGGCAGTCATCAGCACAGCAGCATCAGCAGTTACAAACGCTTGGAGAATGGAGTAATTAACATCCTCCCCAGCAACTGCTATCAAAGCAGTTTCATTTCTTGTGTATTAAAGACAGTACACTCGGTTTAAGGCACTGCTGTAAAATAGCGGCAATGGACACAGTTGTCAACGCCCAAAGTTTTGCACCTTGAGGAATGCAACACTAGGAATAATTATCTTTAAAAAGCCACAATCACTCTCAGTTACTATTTTCTTCCATTAAATATGCTCCTTCTGTCAAAAAATGAGCCTTATTCTCTACAGATCACCACAACAGAAACTTGCAGGATCTCTCAACAAGAACCCTTACCAATTGAAAAAAACCTACATCAAAACCCCAACTCCTAACCCTAAGTTGCACTCTTTTGATACTTCTGCTTTGTCAAGTAAATACGTAGAGGCTGGTTTTGGGAGTTTTTTTTGTTGTTTCAGTTTGTTTGGTTTTGTGTGGTTTTTTTTTTTTTTTTTTTTTTGAGTTCGCAACATGCTCCACTAGCTCTAAAAAACAGAAGGCAGAGAATCATTCGAAAAGTAGCTAAGGATTTGAAACTTGTAGTCTACGATGTCCTCATTAGTCATTTAAAGAGTAGCATCCCATCTAAAGGAAAGGGATAATTTTTGTCAGATTCTTATAAAAAAAGGCTTTATTTTGAACAAGTTTTCTCCATTTGGTTTTACAGTCTCAACATACATCATATTCATGGACAAGCAGCATTTTCACAGAATAAGAGCCAAATACAAAGAAGAGGAAGCCACTTGGGATTAACAGTTTCAACCTAATTGACTCAGACTTCAGAAAATACTGTATGCTGTCACTTATTTGAGGTAAAGGAATTCCATAAATTAAGATCCACTGTTTAACAGAAGAGTCAACAATGAAACACTTGTGAGAAGTAGGGGTAAAAAAAAAAGTCTTAGAGTAAGACACTGTGAGCAACAATAGAAGGGGGAGGTAGGATTTCCACTTGGTTTGTATTGATAAGCCAACAGTTTGGACTACCATGTGTAAGTTTAAACAAATTTGTGCAGTTTAAATTTCAAGTTTGACGATTTTTACTGGCAGTATAGTCTTAAAAGGTGAATCTAACTGAAGATATGTTATGAGCTTACTTTATATGCCGAATGCTGTCACTTGGCAATCATTACACAATCAGGTAATAATGTGAGCACCATTTTTTTTTTCCTTTCAGTATCCAGTAAAATCCACTGCTTTCAGTGCCCATTATGACATATTCCGTTACACAGTTAATTTTGGGTAGCTGTGCAATTAGGCCATAAAATGATGCATTTGGTGGAATTCAAGATTGCTTTCTTAAGAAAAACTGTATTGAGGAAGAGAGAAATCAACCTTCTGCTATTTGCTCATGCAAAAATACACCTGCAGTTTAACAGGGATTAGACAAATAGACGAAAGCTGTTACAGGGACAGATTTATACTAGTTTAAAACTAACTTGTTTATAGAGCAAATCAGCTTGTGTCATTAAACTGTGTAAAAAGGATCTTTAACATTTTTAAATAGTATCCATACTATACTAGATACTGTTTTAAAAAACAGAAAGACTAAACTTACCTTTTTTAGCTTGAGATTTAAATTAGCTCACTAATAATGCTAAAGCTCACTGAAGAGGAAATGGAACTGGATTCATACCCTGTAAACTGCAAGAATTAAATTATCAATGTTAAATTCCTAATGCCTAGCAGAAACACCATAAGGTTTCGGTTCCACCATTTATTGTCAGGTACTGGTCAATTTCTTCCAGCAAAAAGAAAGCATAATTTGATTTATGTACTTGCACAAAACATAAGCAGTGAAGCCATCTTCATATAGAGAGATACATTTCTTGAAAAAGGTTACTGGCAAAATAAGCTCCACAAATCTGGTTGGCCAAACCATCCAGTGCGAACAAAATAAATTCAAACAGAATTGGTGCAAGAATTTAGTTGCAGGAGGCAAAGCAGATTCATTTAAAGAAAGGTCATTTTCAATATTATTTTGTTTGCCAACTTCAAGTTCAAGCGAGCAAAATGGTTTTATATTTATTTTGGAGGCAGAGGGAAGCTGGTTGGTTAATCTGGCTGTGTAACACTTCGATATCCTTTCTGTTTTTGTTTTTTTTTTTTTTTTTTTAATAATAATCAAGGAGCAGATTTATCATTTAGCAAGTTACCTGACTTAAAACTAAAAAAGCACTAGTAAATCTCTCCCTCATTGGAAAGCTGTATTGTACTACATAGCTTCATGCACCATAAAGTTCTATCTTGCAGAAATATAAACACTGACCAACACTTCTTGATGTTACGCTTTGCATAAAAGCGGACACGAATGAAGTTGAACTGCAAGTCAGCCATTGAACAAACTGTCTCAAGATGTTCCTGCAATGTTTCAATTAGAGCTTTAACTCCTTAAGACATACACAACCTATGATGTATAGCTATTGTGCAATTCAATTAGAACTCAGACAGAAAAGGAAGATGTCTTGTTTGTGAAGAAACTGCCATCTACCCATTAGCTTTTATCACACTTCAGGCTATCAGAAAGCAAGTAGAGGTGGAAAAAAACAATAAATTATTTTCCACTAGCATCTGATTAGTTTTTATGACCTTGAATGCTAATGAAATGCTTTTCATTAAATGACAGCAAGAGAAAATAGTGGGGGAAAAAAAAAAAATCAGTCTTAAGAAAATTGGTCCTTGTATTTAGGACCTTTCATTTCCTTCAGTAGATCATATGTATCATGTTGCACAGAGCATAAGTTTGTTTCTTTTACAAAAAAACCTCAACGGCCTATTATGAATCACTGCAATAAAAATATTACTTTTTTTCCACACTGCGCTAGGCAATTTTCTTTCCAGATGAGGAATTTAGTCAAGAATCATAAAAAAAATTGAACTCTGAACTCTGGCACAGCCAGGAGTAGCAACTCAACTACTCCAGAGTGCTTAGAAAATAGGCTTTAGATTTTACACCAAGAAATTGGATTTATTGTAAATGCCACAGTCACATTGATAGACAGAGCACAGACTTCTGGTAACAAACAAACATACATTTTTGTAACTAAGCGTTTCTACTTGGTAAATAAATGCATTTCGCACAGCCTTCCTTTTAAATGTGCCTAAACTAACCTAAATAAGCAGACAGCATAGCAGAAAAGGGAAACTTATGTGAGTAACTGTTTCTTAAGCAGTATATTATTTTTACTATGTATATAATATTTTATATTATATACACACACATTTTCATCAACAGTTCAAATTATACCCGAATAAAAAAAAACCCAAACAAAACTGGCGCTTCTCCAATACATTTACCACCTTTCCCTCAGGCATAGTTAATCCAGGTATTTGTCAAGATAGAGGAATGACAGTTAAAAAGACTCCCCCCACAAGAAACAAGTTACACAAAGAATACTGTATCACTACAAATTTTTTATTCAGAAGCCCATCTTTAAAAAAAATCTCATTATGAACTTGTTTGGTCAAACTACAACACTTTCTAGCAGACATACAGTAAAAATGGCATGGCTCAGAATCGACCAGATCTTTCACGATCTCTTGACCGCCTCCTATCACGTTCACGTCCTCCTCCTCCACCACCACCACCTCCACGACCACGATCTCTGGATCTAGACCGACGTTCACGGGACCTCGACCTGGATCTATGCCTTCAAAGAAAGTTTTAACATTTTATTGTTTCATCGCATTCAGCAATTTACTTGCAGTACCACACAGTGGGACACGTTAAGGATGGATGTAAGTAATGAGGGAGAGGAAAGACAATGTGGCATTAGAAGGATTGGTGAATTGGCACTGAGGCTGTAGAACCAGGTATTTACAAACTGAACAAACTTAATACCAAGGAGCTAACACGTATCATTAAAAGACTCAACTGTTCACTGCTGGTCAGCCATTACAACAGGTGTGCAAAACTTAAGGATGTAGGGGAACCAAATGGACTGTTACACAGCTGTTAAATTAAAGCAGCAAGAGAAGGGGACACCTGTTTCTGCAGTTATGAATAGCTCTTCACAACACACAGCAAAAACTTACAGCTGTTTCTAAGTCCTATCCTACTAAATGAACTGCATTAATTTGCAACTACAAGTAAATTCTTTTTTATGTTTTGTTTCCCCATCCCCCTTTTTTTCCTACCCCCTCCTTCCAGAAGCCATCAGCATTTACAAATAATTTTCCCTGCCTCTGAGGTCGATGACTTAAATTCAGTAAGAAAGCTAAAATCACCCAGAATGTACTGCTAAGACAGCTACTATGGATTTATAGCTCGTATGGCACTTGTCAATGAAGAGTGGTTTAAATGTTTTTAAGCATTTTATAAAAGTCAATTTTATATAATAGGTGAACAGTACAGTTTTAAATAGATGTGGAAATTACAGCAGAACTAAAAAGCTCAGGGACACAAATGCTATAAGTCTAATTTGCAGAATATTGTTCCATAGGGAGATGTTATGGGGTGGAAGTGCATGGGGTGACAAATTTTACAATGACAGAGACACAAGCATAACTCTTGCATACCAACCACTGAGCTGTCCAGAATTACTAAATTAACCTATTATTAAAAAGTTCTGGTTTACCATCCTTTTTTCTACTCAAAAAACTTTGATGTATTTAATTCTGTGTAGAACTAATTTCAGGTGAATCTATTTTATACAACATACCTGTGAAACCCCACTGACACAAGAACTGATTTTTTTTTTTTTTAATATCAAGCCTCACTGCAAAGCTGTGACAGCTTCAGCTGCACAAAGAACTTAAATAGGGCCAATAAAGACAAAACTAGATGGACGATTCTGCTATTCTGTTTTACCACAGACTGAAATTGGGCTATGGGTAAAACAATCGTATTCAAAAACTTGAACACACAAATTTGATCTTTCTTGCAATAAAAGGTGATACCTTTTAATTAACCTTACTAAATCCAAGAGATTCAGATTCACAGAAGTGACCAAAAGGCTAATACAAGAGACAATACTTGGCCTTTTTCATAAGTCATTCAAGCATCTTAAAAGCTTACATTTAAGTTTAAATTATTAACTGCAATGTATTAGGAAAGCATTTAGGCACAAATACATATGCCTAAGCAACACGGTCTACGCTTTCCAAAGTTAAATTCATCCTCACAAATTCTAAGACACTGCCAATTGGAGACATTTATAAGAAAAGCGTGTTCACAATCCCAGGCTCCTTCTGCAACTGAAAGAAACCTGTAAGATATTGCTCTATGTAAAAGAAAGCTCAGCAATTTTGGAAGCCTAACCTAAATAGCAAGGTCCTAAAAGCAAGCAAACTGAATCCAGCTCAAAGTGAACCATCCACAAGACAAGTATAACGATAACAGCAGTGCTATAAGCCTTTCTACAAGGTACCTTAATAAAGAAATAATTTAATATAAATATATAATAAAATGTATCTTTCACAATCTTTTTTTGCGATTAAGCAAAATTACTATTCCTCCGCCCTACTGAGAATTCATATCAAGAAGGGTCACACTGTGAGGCTAGTGTTAATAAAAAGTGAGCTCAACACAGTGCCTGCCTGCTACTAACAGTAAGGAATGAATACAGGCTAGAAGAGTTGGCTATTAACTGTAAAAAACAAGTAAGGCTCAGTCCTGAAGATAATCTATAGATGCACTTGATTGTGCATAAGGCTGCAAGCGGTCAATCTGGTCCTGCCAAAACGCCCATTAGCCAAGTAGCCTGCTTCTACCAGAGGCCACGAGCAAGTACGTTTAGAAGAGAATAAAGTAGAGAGCAAGCATAAAGCAAAGCTTCTCCCAGATAACGTCCTCCTGTAACAGTTCAGTGTTTGGAGATTTGAACCACGGGTAGGTCCCTATGCACTTAAGTCAGTGAGTATGCTTCTCCTTGAACCCTGCTTTCTCTTAAAGCCACATCAACCTTCAGCATCCACAGCACAGCAAGAAGCACCGTAACTTTTTTTTTTAAACAAAGACCTATTCCTTTGCTCTAGACTGGCCACTTGCTAGCTTCACTTGATGTCTTTTCATTGGCATGTGTCAGAACTGCATTAGAAAAAACAAGAGAGGGCTTAAGTTTGAAGATTTGCCTTTAGCATTTTCAGCAACTGATCCTTAATTTACGTGGTTTAATTGTGTTTAAAAGCAAAACTTACTTTTTACGACGCCGCCCGTACAACTCGCGTCTTAACTCTCGAGAAATGGGCTTCAAATGCATAAAGTTGCAGAAACCTCCTCGTGTACACTCTCTGAAACAGAATTCAACAGACACAGTTAAAATTCCCAGCTCTGCACTGTACGTTTGCCCAAAGCCCTAGTGGACCTCTGGCCATCTAAAAGTTAGTCACCTCTAACATTAAAACCAGTACATTGCGAGTATCATTTACTGACACCAACTTACTCCTAGATCGAAATCCTAAGACGACGGCAAAATTCAAGAGGTTGATTGCAGGTCCTCCCTACTAACATCACCTGAAGTGGTTTTCTTCCTACGCTAAGCTACACACAAAAGCCACACCCAAGCAACCAGCACAGGGTGGTGCCTGCATTTCGGAAACACTGTCACAGGCAAACAGGAAGTCACTTTTACCCCATTTCGTATTGACGGCAACAGGCCTCTCTGAAGTCAGTCACAGGTGAAAGCTCAGCATGAATGGGCTGTCCATTAAACCAGCGATTGTTCAGGTCAATCACAGCCTTTTCTGCATCTTCTTCACGGCGAAACTAAAAGCAAAATGAACATTTTTCTCCCGTTACAGAGAACCAACAGCAGCAGATCAAAGATTCCCATCAAATCAGTTGTGCAATATCTGAGTCTTAGGACTAGTGATCAAAATAGAAGCTACTTCAATATTCATGGAACAGTCAATCAAGGGTAAAGATGCTAGCTTCTCATGAATCAGGACTCAGAGCTATTCAAAACATTGATATTTCCCCTTAATTATGTTCTATTTGGTCTTTTGAGTTTTGTGGCTTGTATTGAAAGATGATAGAAGATACTTAGTTTTCTTAGTAGAACTTTAAAGAAAGAGAATGCTTAAGAGTTCTAATGCTTAGAACACTAATGCTCCAGGGGTAATGGATTTTTTCAAACATTTTAACAAAATCTGCATGAGAACTCAAGCTCTCAGTAATTTAAATTGGAACTTCCACAAATCTGATCCTGTTTCATGATGAAAGTAAAACTTAAATTTGAAATTCCTTTTCACAGCTAATCACCTTCAAATTTTTAAAAACAACTTTTTGTTTCCAATTATGAGCTACACAGCTGAGAATTCTAGGCATGAAAATACTTTGCATCCCATTTCCAGGGAATGTACAGTAGAAATATTCAAACTCTCTCACGCCTCCCTCACACACAATAAAATTTCTGCAGGTAACACCTTTGTACTCATTATTCAAGAGATACCAATAACTTAAGAGCTAAATCTAAGTGCTCCAGTGTGCACCTTAAAACAGCCAGATACTGCCAAAGGTAACTTGATTACAGTATCCTTTGTTTAACTGGGAAGTTAGAAAATAAATGCATCTGTTGAAAATAAACACACCTGTTGCGAATAAACCTGTGCTCATAATGAAGTGCTGAAAAACCAGTGTGATGGGAAGACAGGCCTCAAATTAGTCCTGGCAAACTAAACAGTCCAGTGGTGGTGACTGTGTTTGTAATGATGTGAAAAAAAAGTGTTAATCTTTATGAAAGTGACACAGGTTTTGACTATCAAGAAAGCTTCTCATCATCCCTTAATCAATCAGATTCCATTCAGATTTCCACTCTTTGCCTTTATACTGTCAAGTTGGAAAGGAGTTTATCTCCTGAAGATTTAGCTACTCACACAAAATTTACAAGCATACTGTAGTTTTTAAAATGGTAAGTTAATAAGCATCACCCCTAAATACCAACCCTATTGATGACATAAACATGTCTCTCTTTATCCTACCTTTACGTATACATTTCCAACTAGATGATCTCCAAGGTTATCACAAACGTTCATCTCCTCAACTTCACCATATTTTTCTTCCATTTCTGTGAAGACCTCCTAAGCACAAAGCAACCAATTAAAAGTTTGCAGCACGTTTGTTACCAAGTACAGAAGTATTGCATTTTGCGGTTAGTAACTAAAATAAAGTCTTCCTTAAAAAGTAATTTTTTTTTTTTAACATTTCTGATTTTAAAATTAGTACTTGCTTGTCCTGTACTGTGTCCATCTGTTAAGTACAGCACTAACAGGATACAATAAAAAGCTACGAAAAACATTAAGCATACAGTATTTCCGTAATACGCAAGATGCACTGAAAACATGACATAAGCCTTGATGCTACAGTTTTACTTAATTTGCTTTTATATAAATTGAGGTTTTTTTAAAGGTACAGGAAAGAAGGGGATTATAGAACCAACACTACATCATGAAAGTCGCTGATTTTTAAACAAAGTCTATTATAAACAGTGAAGTTAAAGCCAAATTTCCAAGGTTATACCAGGAAATGTTTAGCACTGAAAGTTGTTAAGTTTTATAGGAACACCTGAGGAAACAAGCACTTTTCTTTGAAGCCATCTAATTGTGCTATACAGTGAATCTAACTTATTTCTGTTGACAAATTCACAAACACTTTAATGCATTTTTACATCTTTTACATACCTCAAAGAATTCATCATAATGTTCCTGCATCTCAACATCGCTCACAGCACCTGTAAAAATCAAGAGTCATATCGATTAGAGCCTATATATAAGGAAGAAAGATTTTGATCATACTACAAAATAATCTAGAAAGGCCATCTGGAGCATAAAAGGCACCATATAGCATGGAGCTAACTAATAAGATTATTAAAAATGAGTACATGTGAAGAGCTTTGAGTCCCCAAAGTAGTATGTCAAAACATTATATTGACATGAACAGGTTTTAATCAGAACTGAACTTGTATGCCACAAATTTAAAGGAAGGGGGAAGGAATCACTTGGAAATATCACTTAAATTTAATGTAGTCTCACCCTCTATCTACCAACAATTTTACCTAAACAGAAGGCAAGTGCTTTATCACATTTGCGTATTTTAAAGCATGACTGCAATTTAGTATTCCTGTTCCTAAAGGCAGAATTTCATTTTAACATGACCACCTCTCCAGCATATACACTGGAATTTGAGAGTTCGCAACGTAACATAACCTAGATTTTTTTTTAATTTGCTCAAAATAGTTACTAAAATGACACATTTTTCTCAGTGCCCTCAAAGAAGGGTACCATAATGCTCTGCAATAGAGAGCAATTTTCTAATTTAATTATGAGCATCACTTAATTTTCCTATAGTCCTGCAGAACACCTTTTAGTGCAAGACAAGCTAGCCACATATTCAGGTTAGATTATTTTCATGCTCCAAGCTGGACCTTACGAATGAGCACTGCTTGCCTGCTGCTATAAAAAAAAAACAATGTAAGTTTGGCTTATTTTTCAAAGCATTAAGAATATAAAAATGAATTTCTTTTATTTCATCCAGACTAGAGCACTTTAAACTACATTAAGCTGTATACACTAAAGCCTAATGTATTAGCTCTTCAGCATTTAAGTGGTTTATTAAGACCAAGCAGAGCAGTTTTAAAATGAACCCTGTATTTTATGCTAGAAAAATATTCTAGCCTTTAAATTCCAAGTACTACTGTTTTAGTTCACAGAACATGAAAGACAAGAAACTGAGCCAACAAAGCTGACTTTATTCACTTCAGGCTGCTATGAAAAAAAGAGTCGCTTTGGGCTCAGTCATTTTTGGCTAATATTACCATTTGGATGAAAGTTACATTTTTCTTCAAAGGCTCTAATATTAAACAGCCACACTCTTTGGAACTGTAATTACTTTTCCTCCACCCAGCTCACCTCCTGAAGAAGGCTAAGGGGCATTTGTTATATAGTTTAGGCTAACAACATTTCTGTGTTTGAAACATGTTTGCTTTTAAGACCTTTCTTCTTCCCCACAGTTGTATAGCAAATTAAGGAAATATCAAACATTACACCAATATTTGTAGACAGTTTAATACTTAACTATATTCCCACGGTTCTGCCAACACCACTGATAACAGCTTGCTAATACTTAAGGATTTTTTTTGTTTGTTTTAAAGATATCAGACAGGGGCTCTGAGCCACACTGGGAATAACTACTTTTTACCAGATGGACAAGTGCTAAAAACATATAAGGATATTCCATTGCCAAATTAGGAGATCATAAGCAACAGTTAGTTAATGACTATTTGTATGTCCTTCTAAAGTGGCAAACATACATATGCACAGGCTTTATAAATATTTATATGCCAGGGCTACCAGTATCTGAACCTGGAGAAGCCCAATTACTAACTGAAATACTCAGGAAAACTACTGCTGTTCAAAACTAAGGTTAATCCTCTACGACGGCAATAGAAAGGAAGACAGTTAAGCAACAACAAAAGCATTAAACAGCTACCCAAGTTACCATTTAAAATACATGCAGTACTTAAGTAGGGACAAATACCAAAAAAACAGGGAGTTTCAGCAGACCTACTGAAGACAGAGCGCCAGCTCTACCACAGAGGGTAAAGTTGGGCTCTGTTGAACAGCTACGCGCTTGTCAAGACAAACTAGTCAGATACCAGCATGGAGGAGGCCAGAGAATCTGTTCAAGACTCTTGCAGCTGCACAATCTCAACAGCTCCACAGACCAAACTGCTGTAACTCTGTGCAAATTAGTTACCAGCGCATTGAGGATTCAGGGACAGAGTGGAAATACCCAACTGTACTTTTTTTTTGTTTACTGAAACTGCATTAACTACCAAGCATCTGCAACAGGAAAGCCTACAAACCAATAGAACTGTTTAAGCATCTAGACAAACTTACATAGCTCATTACGTATCTAGCTTGATTGTGTGACAAAAAACTCCAATTACTTAATTGGGCCATCAGGACTTTAACAACCAGAAGAGACAGTGTTGACTTTTAAGTTAGTGGCTGATTTCACAAAGCATGTCTAATCAAATGCTGGTAACTAATCTGAACTAGTCTATAATCCAACAATCAAAAAAAGGAATAGCCAAACAAAGCTTTATTATCACACAGTCATTATTCACTTCAACAAGAAATATTAGTTAGAAAATAACACCGATCCTTTTTGGTCCTAAATTATTTTTTTTTTTAAATCTTATCCTAATATTGATGATTCCATTACAATGATATATCAGTAATCACAGATCAACAATACTCGTCATTTAACTTCTGCCAGTCTCACAGTAGATGTGTTTTCTTATGTCCATTCCTTCCTCATGAGGAGTCATTAAATTAGCTTGTGACCATACCCAAATGCCTTGCCCTCCTCAAAAGTACTTTTAAAAGATATATTTTCCTAGGTAAATATGAAACTTGGTTTTGAAATTTGCATTTTCAAAGCATGGAAGCAATTTTAAGCATGCACCTATCCAAAAAGGACAGCTGCCAGAAGGGAAGCATTTGTCAGTCAAAGTGTATTCTTCCAAAGTAGACTCTAAATAGAAGCTGCATTAACCTAGGACAAAATTTCTGCATGCAATCTGAAAAGTTTCAAATTCAAGTTCTCTTAACGTTTACAGAGCAAGAAATTTGTTCTGGATGAAGTCAACATGTTATTGTCCTGCTCTTTTAGACAGTGGAACCTAATGGATAGCACAAAACATACAGAAGAGCATTCCTAGGATGCAGGCAACTGGCAGGGAGGAAGGCGGAGGGAAGAAAGCAGCGCAACCGAGACTGCTTTACAGGGGAAATACAATTTCAATCCTTTTTGATTCAATAGATGGTATTCGGATTCCCCTCAGAGTTTTGGGAGCAGGGAGGAAGGTGAGTGGGACAAAAAGGTTTTTGGTTGTTTTTTTATATATATTTTTCTTGTGTGCTTGTTTTGGACACATTTAATGAAACGTGGTCAGTTTGATCTGTTAAACTAAAATGGTAGACCAGCTTAAGTCGACACTGAGCTCTGACAATCAAGCCCAGGGAACCAGTGAAGGAACTTGTATGAACTTACAGCGCAAACCGTCAGCAGACTGGGAAGAGTTTTGAGGGTTACGGTAAATGTTCAAGAGGGCAATGGTCTGAAATACAAAACGCAACAACTTTATATTATGGAAATAATTTTAACAAGAAACCGGTTTCCTTTTGGGTCGCTTTAGCCGAGTCTGTGCTGAAAGAGAGGTGGTTATTCTCTCCCAAGAAGGAGAACTTTCACTCAGCTGGTGACCTTTCTGAATCAACCTAACACTGTAAAGTAATAGAGATCTCATGATACTCCATTATTGTATTTTAAAAATTTTATTCACCAATATTACTATAGAGGGGTTTTGCATGATTTCAGGCAGGTATGTAATAGCTGGCATCCAGACACATCCAGGCATTCAAATTATAAGCATAATAATTAGTTTGAATTTAGTTTTACTGCATGGTTTCTTAGGAGCAAAACCCCAGGAAAGTAATACAATAATTACAGCATAACATGAAATCTCCATTTTCCTAAAAAAGTTAACATGAAAGAAAACCCATACTTTTGGGAAACTTACCGTACATATGTGCCTATTTTTTTTTTGTAAAATCAAGAATTTGAGAAATGTCTGCAGGTTAACCCTTTAAAAAGAATGCAGTGTTACTAAGCAATCAATTTTCACTTCGCAGCACAAAAAAGAATCTGCATCAAGTCCAATTTATGCAGTCAATTCTGCATTCTGAATCGCACACATTTGACAAGTTCTTGATCTATGCGCAAGACGAGTTCCGTCACTTGTCCTGTTTGCAACAGCTTTATGTCAGCAGCTCAGAAGCCAACATTATTTTCTCATAATTAGGAGTGGGCTCTTTAACACCATTCTTTAAAAAAATTTCTCCAACTGTGGGACTTACAGTGTGAGCCGTCAGCCGTCTGTGCACTGTTTTGGGGGTTACGATAGATGTTTTGAATCAAGATGGTCTGCGGGGAAAAAAAATAAAAAGGGGAATTCTACTGGCTGCTGTGCATATAATAGACAATTGCAAAGAGACAACTTGTTTGCAAACAGCTAAAAGTAGTATTTTATTCTTAAGATTTCCTTTTGTATTTGTAGAATATCTTCCAAAATTGCATCCAGACCATCATATTATGAAAACAGTTTTAATTAACCACCAAGAAAGAGCTGCATTTGTCTCAACAGCTATCCTCAAAATGGGAGTTGTGAGGCACAGTAACCTAAAACGTCAGACTACATGACAGTATGGATATGCCTAGCTTTAAGACCAGATTCACTACTGTAAGTCTAAGGGGAAAAAAAAAATAGCGTTATGTGCACAGCATAATACATAATGCCACAGTGTCTAAAATGTTTCACCAGACAGCAAGGTTTTTAGGCAAGAGCTACATCTCATTTTGTGTGTCAGGAATTTCTTGGTGGAATTTCTGTTTAAATAATATAATAGCATCATAGGTTCACATGTTTCCGATCCTTCAAATAATGACAATATCCTTTTAGCCCTTCTGCTTTTTACTTGAAGAATTAGCCCAGGCAGACTTGAAACCTTACATTTGTACCGTTCTTCTTAAAATCAAGTTGTCTGAAAAAACAAACCATGTTTAAGTTAGTAAACTAATATTACAAAAAAATTCCAAATGTCCATATCACTGTAAGCACCTCAAAAATTGAAATTTGATTACTTAAAATACAAGCTCAACGTTAGTTAGTATGAATGGCAATCCCCAAATAATTTTAGCTTACACGGTTATTATTAGTCACATTAAGAATTCAGAACTTAAAAGAAGTCACAGGACCAGCAGTGTCATACCTACATATGCTGCCCACTTAACAGGTAAAGAAAAAATCTGCAACACCACATTTAGAAATCACACATTTGTTTTGTAACAGGTATGGTCATACCAACCAAAGCTTTGTGATTCCGAGGCCCAGGTTTTAAATAACTATGTTTTAGCCTACAATTGGAGAGAGCCAGAAACATGCATATAGTTACAGTGTTTCTGCTGATTGGTGGTAATTTGATCACCCCGGATTGCACGACCTTTCCTAACACAGCGCTTCCATAGAGTAGCTGCACCAGCAACAGAAGATAAAAATATTGTGCCAGTAACTTCCCATTAGTAAGGCATCTGTTCTTCTATTTTCTATCACAGCTGATTACCAATCTGCATACAAATAAAGATTTCTGTAGTGAACCCTACTCACCTGACAGGTAGGTTACAGACATTAAAACACAGTCAGGTGCGATGCTTTAATGGTCCCAGACTTCACTGGATCAATCTGGCCTGCCCTGCTGACCCACTTCAGCTGGCATTGCTAACCGCAGTTTCTAACTCAAAGCTAAAGACTGCACTGACAGAAAAAAACAAAAGTTTTTTTTGTAAAAGATGTAGTTTGAGTTTTGAGTTTTTTGTGTGTTGGTTGTTTTTTTGTTTTTTTTTTTTTAACTAACTACTGTGGAAGTTGTCTAATTTAGAAATATTTCTAGTAGCCAACGACCTAAATTCAGGTCTCTAAACAACCAATCACATTTCAGCATGCTCTCCATGTAGGTCAGCAACATGGAGTAGTTTTGTAAATGGACAACATTCTTTTTGAGATACAACATTTATATTAGAAATTATTAAATTCTCAGAAGTGGAAAACTGGTTTTGTAGATGAAGTACCAGCAGCAGTCCCTATCGATCAGCAGCCTAGACAGTCCCCCCTAGAGCTCCCCCTGCCCACTCAACGCACTCGCAAAGTTTAACTCTCACCATCTAACAGCCCAGCACTCTCATCATTCTTACTCCAATTCAGCTAAAATGAGCTTGCAGACACTCCACTGCTATGTAAACTTCACCTTTGTAGGTAAAACTGCTGATAACGCAACAACTTGCACAGGTGCTACTTATCATATACAATATTCCTAAAGAAATCTGTTTACCTGTATACCTTGACAATCAGCAGTGATAGAAAAAGGCAAAGACGACGGTTCTCCAGGAACATAATTTCTGAAGACTATAGAGCTCATATTAAAAAAAACCTATCACCCACTACACCTTTTTTTTGGAGGGGCAGACAGTCAGTCACCCATCATGTCTCTAACAATATTCACACAGCCAAAGATTAAATAATCTGTCAAATGAACTGACGTCTACACCCTCAGCAACCAGGCAAGTTGTTTTCAAGAAACAGTTCTTTCACATTCAAAAGAAGTATGTAAGTTACTCTTGAAACTTAAGAGTCTGGGTCAGTGAACAACCGTTAACGACAGACAAGTCGCTTTTATTTATTAATTAGTTTTCTTCAATTATATGCATAAAGGACTTAAGTTCACACCTTTGAGATAGGTGGAACATGCTGTCACTGTTTGCGATTAAAAAAAATCTGGGACGGGTTAAGTGCCTAAACACCACTGAGAAGGCACACTCACCTGAAAGTTAGCACTGGTTGGTCTCTACTACAGGCAAGCTTACAACAGCATCACTTCCTGCAGCCATTAAGGGTGACAGGAGATAATTAGAAATGCTGGGAGAAGTAAATGGAATATCCACAAAAAAAGCAAAAACCCATATAAACTGGGGCCAAAAGCGAACTAGTTAATCTGGAGCTCGGTAATTATACACTTGTATCTGAGAATCTACGTTTTAAAGAAGCAAGAATATACTTCTACAAGAAAGAAAAAACAAAAGGAAAACAAACCTGGCTAAATGTTGGTTTGTTGTGCAACCGAGAACATCTGTCTCCATGACGACAAGCTCCAATTTTGAAATAAAATGAACAGTTGACTCTGCAAGTTAGAAAAAAATCGAAGTAGTTAGATACCAGAATAGAAAGACATTAGACATTAATATGCAATTTCTGAAAAACGTATGCCCTAAATGCCTTTATCTTCATGTGGGGAAGTAACATAGAAAAAAAATCAAAACCGTACAGGAAAGCATTATATCAAATCTGTTCATGTTCATTTTTCCTTACCCCTAATTTACAGTGAGTCATCTAACCAATTTCATTCGCTACTCAAATTCAAAGTGCACTCATGACACCACCATGGACAGAAGCAATCATATCACTACTGGTTTACCCTTCTGGTTCTCCACTCTTGTCTTTATCGGTTTCATTGAGTGATGGGATGGGAAATAACGTGAAAAACAGTCCAAAAATTTACACTATGAGCTAGGTGGTTGTGTCGCACTTCAAGCAACCCCTTGCCTAGGCAATGTAACCAGCTTTACATCTGATACAGTTGCACCTACCAACGTTTTTTAAACCACCTGTTTGAAGTTATACTCTAAGGGTAACTGAGACTGCTGCCAACACAGTATTTGAAATAATTCAGATAAGAGAAAACACATGTTACAGAGAGAATACAAATAAGAAAAATAATTTAATTAAGTCATTTCCATAAATGTAGTTAATATTTTTAAAAGGAAGCATTTAATATTTTTTTAAACCACAAGCTTTTATTGAATTATCTATCATCTAATGACACCTTCAGAAACTCTGCTGGTTTAGGAATGCCTGTAAAACTCTCACATGTAAGTGTAATTCACATGGAATGATGAAAGAAAATCGTTAAGAAGCTTAGTTACCTTGACCGGGAAAACTGAATGCAAAATTCTGAAGGGCAAGAAAACTATTATGGGCTACAGATGGGTAAGTGAAATAAAAGAACTCTCCTGGAAGAAAGATTATTATTCCCATGCTCATAGTTAACACCAATTCTTTCGCAATCCTATGTAACCAACATCAACTCATGGAAGGGAGAAATATTGAAGTACTAAAGCATATCTAATCTTTAGCAATAAACATTCTACTGTAAAATTGTAACACGATTACTCTTCATTACGTTTTTGAAAATATATACTTAGCATTACGACATACTTACTGTCTTTTCTGAACTCTACCCTGAAACAAAAAAGAAATCTAACCATAAAAATTTCCAATAGTGTCTCCAAGTTCAACAGTTTCTAGAAAGTTCTGCTTGCTTTTTGAACAGAAAAATAAGACCAGTACAGGAATCTCATGCTGCTGTACTTGCACATACTAATAGTGTTAAACTGTAATGCATTTATTTTATCGGAAAGGATGCTACAGTAACAGAGCTCAGGAGAGGCTGCCGATATTGCTTTTCTGACAGACGAGCGAATTGGAACTGGCGTGCAGCACTACAAAGTAGAAGGAAAACAGGAGCCTCACGGCCAGAGGCTGCCAAGAGTAATTTAGTCCAGTAGCAGCACATCGATGCCCCCTTTCATTTTTACGGGTGGAAAAACACGTTGGTTTGGTCAGGCCGACGGTGACCAAATTTTCGTTAGGAGGGTTTTGTAAGTGTGCTTCCAACAACCAGAGAAACTAGAGGCGTTCCCGACGCGTGGAAGGCTGCAGGCAGAAGCCTGAGGATCAGGATGCAGCAGTCGGGGAAATCCTCCGCACCCTGGGGAGGGGGGAGAAATAACCAGTCGCTGTCCTTGCAGCAGAGCGGAAGCTCTCGGGCTGCTGCGAGGGGCAGAGACGCGAACAAAAGAGGAAGAGGAGGCCCTTTCTGGCAGGCGGCGGCGGGAAGCTCGGCACCCAGCGGCCCCGGCCGCTCCC